TCTGAGTGTGTTGCTGCAACTGTTGGCAACACATGTTGCAATGATCCAAGCAGTTGGCCACAGTGTTAAAGAGTAAACAAATAACTGCACATAAACAGATTTCCCAAACATTTGTTAAGTTTTGTTTGTCTGAAAGAAAAAAATTAGCTGATATATTGCCATATTGGGTTTTTAAATCACCACATGCCTGTATCAGTATTGGCCTTTAAAATCCTATAATCGGTCGGGCTCTATTTCACACTGTAGTGAAAAAGTAGGAGATCTCACGTGGCTCGTGTAAATCCTCTTTTGCTGCAGCAGAGCCTCCACAGGACGTTTCCTGTAGCTCATTAAAAGAGTTGCACAACTCCTCTTTACAACACTGTTTGAGCTTATTTATTTTTTTGGGACATCTTAATTGAAAATCTGTCTTTATGTTTTGCTACAGCATCTTTAGGCACTGGAATTGAGAACCGGTAATCAAAAGCCTCTAAGCTTATCGTTTACTTTTATCAGCACTCGTAGGTTTTTCTTACAGTGGGTTAGGGCATATAATAAAGCAATGATGTCACGTCGCAGTGGAGCTTCTGCACGCCTGAGTGACTGTATATGAAAGCAGCACTGTTCTCAGAGTCAGACAGATAAACAGTTATGCAGGCGCACCCATTTTGACGCCTTTCCCCACTTTGTGCATTTCTAAAATTGGTCCTTACATAAACCAATTTTCTTTGGAATTATGGCTATTCTAAAACGTTTTTAGCATGTGCATAATTTTTTATAGTGTGCTACCTAAGACCCTCAGTGGGCGTGTTGCGGACAAGCAGTCGCCATGCCGAAGCATCTTAATGAGCCTGATCAATGTGGCCTGTCTACAGCTAGAACTGTGACTACACCAGTGATGATATAAACTGAGGCCTCTGTTCTGTGTGTATGTGTGTGCGCTTGTATTACTCATGGTGTGGGAATATAAATGTCTTTCCATTGTTGCACTGTGGACCCGTCTTGGATATTTTTGAGAGAAAAAAACAAAAACAAAGGCAGCATAATATAAATCGTTACATTTAGAGACTAAAACTTCATTTAAAGCTTGGTATTCTAAATGTATGAAAACAAAGACTCTGCTCCGTGTGTGGATGTGTGCATTTGTCCAACTAATGACTGAGCCGGGCACCGTCATTAAGGTCCAGGATGATAACAGGGCAGAGCAAATAATCTATGGTGGTATCAGCAGGGAACACTTACAAACAGATAGCTTAGCATTGGATAAACTTTCATCACTTCACTGAGAATGCTAAAAGCCTCTTATTTTTAATCAATTCCTCAATCCAGGAAAGTGTCATATTTACCTCATCAAACCTGTCAAAAGAGGCGCCTTCCTGCATGAACTCAGGCAGGTGCTTCTCCCAGTTGAATTCGTAGGACTTTGTCATGGCTGCTCACAAGTCTGAGAAACAAACAAAAGAGGAGAAGACACACAAGGAAAGAGACAGACACAG